ATCTTCTCTGCGTCATGAGTACGGTTAGCTTCAAAACACTTCTCCACTCTAAACAACCAATCATCAGGATTGTGACCATCGAAAGTGGGAATCTCCAAGGGTCTGGACTGGAAGGTGTGTGGATATGAGTAGGAGTAGTGATCGAGTGACGGAGAGGGAAAACGCTGCTCACTGGACCTAGGTGGGTATTGTGGTTCCATCGGGTAGTGTGGTTCCACAGAACGCGGCGGCGCCGGTGGTGGAAAACTAGACTCTCGCTGGTTACTCTCTGGTGCGACGGAAGGACTCACCGGAGTTTGGAAGTGCACGCCGGAGGTTGGACTGGTGAAACACGCTAGCGTCGAATCTCGACCTTCACGAGCAGGACCATAGATCTGACCTCGGAGAAGAAGGTCCATTCCCTGTCGAAGGTAAAGCATTTCCTTTTCGAGTTTTCCCACTCTCTCACCCATCGTTGATGAGGACATAGAACCGGACATCGACGAGTGCTCGACGGATGGCCACGAACCGGTAACGAGTGACCCGACACCAACAATCCCGACGGTCATAGCTGGACCAATGACCCGTTCACGTACGAGGAAGCTAAGAGAAACGTTCAATGAAGGAGTTGAGGCCCTGATCAACGCAACCGGCCAAATGGATATTCTATCGGCCGACCCACGACCCCCGGATGCGAGTGAAAGCCTCAACGAGTTCCATCGACCCAACGATGGAGAACAGACCAACCGAGGTAAGTTTCATCGACCAAGTCCATATTTTAGGACTAACGATCGAGCCGGTTTTGCAGGAAACCCCCTAGAAACACGAGTCGATCGAGCATCGTCACCCGGTATCGACGACATGAACGCCCGAACGATCGACCCGGACGGCCCACCACCAAACACCAAGGGATTCGAGATTCATCAACAAAGTGCTGACTTTAAAAGCTTTGATCGAGAGCGTTTGGAGAAACAACCCGCATAACATGAAGAAGCTCGACAAGTACCACCCCCGGACGCCGGAAAGCTTGTACGGAGCGAAGTCACGAACCAAGTTGATCCAAACAACTTGGGCTTCGATAATCACTCGATAAGTGATGTTTCTGGAGACAACGATCGAAGCCGAAATGCCCACGACGGAGATGGATTGGGAGATGATCGAGAGGAGCACTACTACCTCCGTAACGGCACGTCCGAGGCCCGTAACACCGAGAATGGGGAGCAAGGCCGTATGGGCTCGTACGAAGTTAAGGAATGCCGAGAAAACAAGAACCAAGGTGAAGAAGAAGAAGGAGAACCAGAGACAACTACGTGGCCTCTCATTCCTTCGAATAAGGTAAGTTCGGTTTTCATTGTTTCTATTTTCTCTTAAGTGTTTTGCAGGGCCTATCAACCGAACATTTTCGTTTTATTTCATTGAGTCTAAGTCCTAGAGAGTCGAATCTAAACCTCCGATTTGTGGAGAGGGTTCACTTGTGCGAATGACACAAGTTTCCTTTTTGGTTGTTTTTCTTTACTTTATTTTGTAACCGTTAGTTCATTTGAGATTGAATCTCGACCCTCGAAGGTCATGGCTGAAGGACTATTAATAAAGTCCCATTCGCAGCTTTGTAGTCACGTTTTTAACATAGATCAATAAAGTTGCATTTTCTTCTCTTGCGCCGTTTGCGAGTTGAGAGCCCTTACACGAGTATTCTTGAGTGGTTTCCCCTTGAATCAATCCGTGTGAGCTTGTTACTTGGCTGATCGAATTCCCATACTTCCCCTAAGCTATCTTGTTCCATCAAGTTCCTTCTTGTTCGTGGTTTTGTCGAGAGAGAGCGAAGGCCAACTCGATCAACCCTAGTCCGAGTGTTCGCATAGCCGTTGGAGCGTTTATCAATCGTCGGTTCCGAATCAGTTTCTTAGGAGGGTGTCTCGAGCTCTGGCGAAGCCGTGCGTGGCTCCGGTGTGACGGCGGAAGCCGCTGGGGTCACAGTCGTGTTTGGTTTAGATCCCATGACTTCTCTCAATGAAAGCACCAATGATAGACCCACGAGCCTATCGAATCGAGTTTTGTTGTGTAAGTGTGAAATGCGCCGTTAATGGCGGAGAGATAGATAAGATAAGAGAAAGATTATTGATTATTCATTGCATAAAGAGAACCCTAATCGGGCAGTCCACTTAAATACAGACTCTACTAACTCACCAAAACGACATCACATTGTTCATACTCTTTATTTAGATAAGATACTAAAGACTCTACTTCCAACTGAAGCTTTCCCACACTTAGCCACTTTCTGTAATCTTCTTCTTCATTAGGAACTTCTCCCACTTCCTTGCCTTACGACCACTGGTCCTCATCTTCTTCTTCATAAAGGCTAGAGGCACATTGAGTCTATCAACTTCTTATTCTCTTCTTCTTCTACTTGGTGCCCAAATACACCCAGCTGGTATATGCTAAACACGTCTTTGTCTCCACCGCCTTCAAATCAAGCGAAACCTCGAACCAACCAATCATCTTCTCACACTGGAAGCAGCCACGAATCCACACTAAGCACAACTGTGAGAGTAAACCTCAATGGTCACAAGCTTGTCGTCGTCTTCAGAGACCTTCCCAGGAGCAAGAATCCTGAGTTGAGCATCCATTGAAGCCATCTTCTCCAAATTTCTCGCAGCCATGGTTGAGGCTTCTCAATTCTCACTATGTCTTGGGAGGGATTTAAGCAAGCCCCTAAGAGAAGATGAGTCGAGAAGAAGGGATTGAAGGAGGAGAATAACAGAGAGAGAAAGAGAAGAGGATATAGATATAGAATTTGGGATTACTGTCTGCCCAGTTTCGCCGTTAGATGCAATCTTCTTCTCTCGGACCCTTCTCTCGTTTTTTTTCACCGGCCGTTCGTCCACGGGTTGAGCTGATAAAACATATTCGATGAGCTTACATCTCCTACACCCAATGTTTCTGAAAATCCTAAAAGTCAATAGAAGAACATATTAGATAGGTATACAAAACTATATATATTCATTGCTAGAAACTAAAATCGTGAGGGCTGCGCAATCTATTATAACATTTTTTTTGAAGTACAATTTTTTTTGCCATCCTTTCAAAAAATCGATTTTCATTAATTACCCTTACTACTAATCATTTTATCTATTATAACATTTTTGAAGTACAATTTTTTTTGCCATCCTTTCAAAAAATAGATTTCCATTAATTACCCTTACTACTAATCATTTTATAAAAATTCATTAAGATTACTAATGTAACTTTAATTATCGGGTCGGTTTATGATTTCAATTTCTGACCCAATTGCAAATGATGGATCTTTTCTTTTTTAGTATAAACATCCGAATTTAATTGCTATAATTAAGAGAAGATATTAACTCCATATTTACAAGATCTTCACTCGGATCTCCACCAAACCAAATATTTAAAAGTTATATCGATTTAATGCTAACATAACATGATTATTGAAAATTAATTTAGATTGTTTCCTATAAATTAGGTAAGATGTTTACATTTTCCAATATTAATCGGACAAATAAACAATCTGAAGATCTTCTCAGAAAATAGAGAATATTACAAAAATATTCCCAGTATAATTTACAAAAAAATATATTTTAAAATGATCTACAAAATCTCCTAAACTTGCTCATCCAGATTTTTGCGAAATCTAAATGAAAAACCCTACCATCTCACCTAAACACTATAAGTACTATTCATTCATATCACCTATGATCACCAAATTCGACCATATTTTCACAAAAACAAAAACAAAGAAACTTAACATGCTCTACTTTCAACTTCTGGATTATCGAAGGAGCAATCAACAGAGTTTTCAATTGTGAGTAGTCTTAATTAATGTTTATTACGACTATTCATTTATAAATTATCCATCCTCATAGTAAGATATAGCTATCAATCTTATGTTTCTATTTATAATACAAAATCATAAAAATTATATATATATTGATATGATCGTGGCTAGCACGGAGCAAGAGGTTACAGAGAAACCGGAGATGGTGGGAAGGATCACTCGTTCAAGAGCTAAGGAGATGGCCAAGGAAGCACACGCACTCATAGCTGACGGGTCATTCAACCTACCAAGGATCCAAGTCTTCAACATATCTAACCTGAAGACTTCACCCGGTGATGAGGACTAGGTAACTTAGGTGAGAAGTTTGTACTCTTTTTCCCATAGCTGAGTTTTGTCCCAATGGGTTTTCTCAGCATGGTTTTTAATGAGGCAAATGGATCACTACGTCGAGTTATCTAGAAATCATTACCAAAGGGGAATAATGTACTTCTGTACTACTACAGGTCGTCAAGCTTCTGTACTAGTTCAGCCGATTTCTGTATTACTACAGGACGTCGGGACATCTTGCTGTTTTTATTATTTCCTTAAAACGTCTTGTTGTTTTGGATTTGAACTTCTTGTTGTTTTGAGTGTCGAGCCCTAGGGTCTTTAAAACCTAAAGCTACGCCTCTTTTCTCTTTTAGCGAAGAAGTTGTATGAACAAGTATTGTCACACTTTTTCTCTCAATTTGAATTCTTGAATGCGTTCTAGATTTCCGGGTTTCTATACACTTTGTGATTCAGAAACTCTTCACTTGATCCAATCCATACAACCACCTAAAATCTTTCTCCATCAAACCATTGTTTTCATCATTCGATCTTCACACATCATCACTCAAAGCCATCGTCCATCATCATCAACCAGATCACGTCGCACATCACCCATCTTCAGCCTTCACCGGAGTTCAATCCTAGGGAGATCATATTATATATATATATAAGTAAATAACAAAAATAATCATGTAGTGTATCACGGGGCAAATTTTATCCCCATACGTATATATAAACTATAATGGTTAAAATTTTATATAAAAAGATACGCATAAAATATTAGACACGTGGTGTATCACGGGGTTAAATCTAGAACTGTGCAATATAAAAATATTAAGGCTGTGGACAAATTTAGGATTTGTCTTTTATTCATTTTTTTTTTTTTTTTTTTTTTTTTTTTTGGACAAACTTATCATATCATAAAATGAAAAAATAGTTTAAACTCTACTAAGAGAGAGTACAACAAAGCTACAAAGAGCTGAATAAACCAAAGCATCGCCTAACATAGAGGTCGAGCAAAAGGGAAAGCTAGCAACAACAATGCTCAAAATGAGACTTTGGGATAATGGTGAACTCACGAGTTCAACCAAAGAAGCATCAAACCAAGAGCATTCAACAAAGCAAACGTCTCTAGCTTGGGAGTCCTTGCTGAAACCACTAGAAGGAGGAAACAAAGCCTCCAAAGACACTAATGTCAAATAGTCAGCAAAAGCTGAACGAGAACAGTCTTGAACAACAATCCCCGCTTCTACTTCAAGCAGAACAATCTTGACCACAATGCTCCCTGTAACATTATCACTACACACAAGTGAAGAATTTGGGAGAATAATAAACTCCATAAAGGAGAGATGAGGGCTATAAAAACCCCTAAGAACCAGGTGAGCTGGCTGGTTGTCAATACTCAAAGAACTTTGTCCAAGCTGCCACGAGACAAGTTTCAACAAGGCTACATCGAGATTGAGATAGAATCCGCATATTGCGGTAAATGATCGCATTAAAGCGATAAGGGTGCTGGAAGAGAGCACTAAAGTCGACACAAGAGTATCTAAGCTCATCGAATCCGCATAAGCTACATCCGAATCCCATAAGACCAGAGCTACAAACTCAACAAACATCCAAAACATTCCCATCATAGAAGGTGAAGAGGACGAAGAGCAAGAGCATACCTGGGGGAACATCGGAGGAGGTACGATGACGGCGTCAACAGTGGTTAAAGAGGTTGTACAAACTAGAGTACCAAGTTCTTCAAACCAGGTTGCAAAGGAAGACTCATTGGGAAGCATCAATCTAACGAAAAAGGGGAACTTTGTTGGAAGGGGAGAGATCCTCGCTGGCGATAGAGAATCACATATGATAGAGGAGAGATGGAGGACAAGAGAATCCCACACTTTAAAGGAAGAGGAAGACAACAGTTGGGCAAGAGCTTCACTAAGGAAGAAGCAGATCTGAGGGTCCGGTGGATCTGGTGGTTCCGGTGGAGTAGGTGGAGAAGGAGGCTCCGACGGTGGTGCACGAGGGGGCCTCAGGAGGAGGAAGGCGACCGAAGACATCGGTAAGAGACGAGAGTTGCTCGAAATCGACAGAACCAAGGGACTCATCTCTCGGGAAAAAACTCGCCGGGAAACGGATACGTCACCGGAATATAGATCCACGAGAAAGAGATATCACCTTAGCAGCAAACACATATCAAGAAAGAATCTTGTCGGAGGAGCATCGCTGGAAGAAGAAACGCATTCTGTTGAAGGAGAGGCGCCTTGGGCTTCGTGCCTGAGAGAAAAAACTTAGGGCGAACACGCTTTAAATTACAACTTGTCTTTTGACTTTTATTCATCTTTATCATATTAAAATTGGTCTGACACACTGAATGATGTAGGCCCAATCTTAAAGCTCAATTAATTTTAACCCGTTTTGAGGATCCGACGATCTAACTGTGTAATTTGACACTACTGCCCATTTTTAAGTGTTAATTTTGTCAAAATATTTAAAAAAAGTAAGGGTCAAATCGTTTTTTCCAGGCTGAGAAGCTTTATGAGGCCAATAAACCGGATAAAGCATTTCGCAAATAATATACATATAAATATAAAAAGAAATTAAATTATGTAAAAATGTGAAAGTTATTATTGACGTTGAAATTTATTTAATTTATTCTGTTTTATAATTAGTAAATAAATCTAAATTAATTATTTTATCTTATTATACAATAACCCATGCATATGCGCGAGATATTACTTAGTAATTTAAGATAAATATATCTAAATAGGTCTAACTTTATAGAAATGACTTATTTATTAAATGGATATGACTACTCATTTTAACATCATTATGTACGACGTGTATATACCATGTGTGAGTGTTTTAAGGAAAACTAGATTCAGACCCGCACATATGTGCGAGATTGATTTCAAAAATTAAGTTTACTTTCATGTTTGCAGTATATTACGTACATGCAGTGTTATGTTTATAAACGTAATTATTAGAAATGTTATTAAAATTCTTAATCCGAGCTTGTACATGTTCAATATTTTTTTTTATCACTAACGATAACTACATTAAAAATTAGTAAAATAAAAGTGGTTTGTTTATTTCGGGACATGAACCCCATCTCGTCTTGTCCCTTCCTAGATATCTCATGTTTTTTCATCTCAAAACCATGGTTTTAAACTTTTAGATATAATTTACAGATTTGAGATCGTATATTTTATTCCAACAAATAGGAAATAGGTCAATAATCAAGACTTATTTGAAGATATTTTTATTTGGTTGGATATTTATAACATAAACATATATTGGTTTGCTTTTATCAAATTTGTGAATATTTGAAATAATTATCGCTTCACAATAAATTTCGGATCAACATTTGATCATAGCGGACCCGGATTGAGTGTGAACCAGATTAGTAATCAGCTAAATTTCTATTAAAGCCGTAAACTATCAAACCAGATAAAAACAAAGAAAAAACTTTAAAACTTCTCGGCCAGGATGGCCCAAATATATTTGTCAGGCGGGTTAAACCCGTCTGCTATGCATGCTTTGCAACAGATTAAAATAATTTTAACCCCCAAAAGATCCATTCAACATAATCTACATTAATGGTATGTCTGCATATGTCTTTCTTGAATTTGCATTACCATAAATTTTTGCCTCCAATTTTATTAGGAAAAGTTTAGATAAAATTTTTATTTTCCGAATTACTGTTCTCCCTTCGTACTCGTTATTCCTTGTAGTCTATACTAATAAATAGTAGTTCCACATCTACCCTGCTTGAATTCACATTACCCAAAATTCTCGTTACTCCGTATTTTATTAGAATAGTTTAGATAATGGTTTTAATTTTTTCTAAATTACTTGTTTCCTTTCCGTACTTGTTATTTCATGTGCCAATATTTGCAATAACAAATAAAGTTAAAATTAAATTAAGCTTTTTAAATCTCAACTTACTGTATCATACCAGTTATCTAATATTTAAAAATTAAAATTGAATTTAACTATTCAAATATTACTGTATCATACCAGTTATCTAATATTTAAAAATTAAAATTGAATTTAACTATCCAAATATCCACCTTTTTGTTTCCTCAGTTTTAATGTCTCCATCTAGTCTAGTAGTTATAGTATGGACTATGTACTAATTATATGTATTATTGAATTTATCTTTTCCGTTTAGTAGAACAAACAAAATGAATAGAACAAAAGAAAATAAAGAATCTGAATTTATTATGATTTCTTTATGTTGTTTGTTTTTAATTTTTTTTGTATATACACATCTGAAATTAAAGCTGCTGAAAATCTGGTTTGAATTATTTTCATAATATTAGTTTTGGAAATGATTCGGATTTGAGATTTTGAACTTAATGATTAATATCTATGGTATTAAATCGATTTTTTATATAATCACAAAATCATGTTACGGTGTTACCTATTTTAAAGCGTGGTAAAGGGTATTAAGTTTGTTTTATTGTTTTGTTATATTAGTTACGAATATTAGATTTTTTTATGATTTCTTTTTTTTTGCTGGGGAATTTTATTAATTAAATGGCTCAATTACAAAAATTAAAGCAAATAAAATTTGTAAAAAAAAAAAATTAAAGCAAATAGATTTTGTTTTCAATTTCCTTTACAATTTTTTTATAATTTAATAAGATTTTTTAAATGTTAAAAAGTATTTAGTTTATATATATATATATATATATATTAGTTATGATTAACACTAATTGTGAGTGACCTAAATCTTGTTAACATTTTCTTTTATATAATTTTAATAATTTTAAAGGATTTCCTAAATGATTAAATAAGAGATTATATGGATTCCTAAAGTTGCATCATAAGGAATGTTTGTTATCAATTTATTTTCTGGATATTATGTTGTTTCCTTTTTTATGGGAACCTGGATTATTTTTTTAAAAATAATTTATTCTACTGTTATTAATTCTGTTTGGTTATAAGTTTAGGATTACATAAAATGTAGTTTTTTTTTTAATTCTGTTTGGGTACACCTATTAAAAATGCTCCCCTTTTAATAGTATAGATAAACAAATAAATATCGAGCATAATTTCATGAATTACAGGAAAAAGAAAAAGAAAAGTTCTATGCTGATAGCCAATAAATAATATATAAAAAAGAATTTAACATATTATATATGTAGTCTGTAAGCATAGTCACTTCCACTCTTTTCTCGAAATTGTATTAATTTTTTGTATTTGCGTATAATGGTGTTTTAGAATTTGTTTTTGTATCTTGTAAATAATTATTGATATTAATATATTTAATTTGTCGAAAAAATAACTTTTTATTTTAATTTTATTTTGAACAAACGGACTAGCAGTCTAGCACTAAAAAACCTTTGAGAGAGGGAGAAGACTTTTTGATGTGTTTTCGCCGTGCGGAGTTTTTTCTGGTTTTCACTGTCCCGATTTAGTCGGGCTTCTTGTTCGACATCTCCGACTTTCTCAGTGGTGGTGGTCGACTTTTGTGTAGCAGCGTACGGCTTATTCAAGCGGCGTTAGTTAGCTCTCGTGTTATTACAGCCGTAGATTGGATTCTCGACAGAATTTATCTGATGTTTGTTTTTTACTTCTTCAATAAATTTCAATAGTGATACGTTGGAGATAGTTGTTTTATCGCTAAAATGCTTGATTTCCGACTTGTTTCTTTTGAGTTTTTGAGAATTGAATAAATGAATCCACAAAATGCGAATTAAATTGAAGAAAAGAAAATGTTTCTGGTAGCATATTAACAGTGTCTTAAGCTGTTAGCTCTCTATTTGAAGCTTTGATTCACTAGTTTTCGGTGAAAAAAACTTAAGAATCCTGTTCGGAGTAGATTCTTTCACCGGAATCTTTGCTTGAACTGTGATAACTCATCGACATGTGTTTTGGTTATATCCAGTTTATTAACACGTGGTTCGGTGGACGCATGACAAATATTAGTTTTCTTCTCGTATGCTGCTTAGCTGGGTTCAAGTGAAACTTTTCTTTTTCCTGTAAATCTTAATGTTGTGGGCTTGTAGTTCAAGCCTTGTATGATGTGTGATATTAATAAAACAATTTATGAGATAAAAAAAAGCAGTCTAGCACTAATCTAGTGATATATAAATTAAATATACTGTAAATTCATATTATACCAAGAATAAAGTAAAAAATGTCGGCCCGTTAACAATGGGCCACGAATGTCAGCTCATATAAAGCAGCCACTAGAACCGGTCAACTTGTATAGGTTGCCCTCTTACGTCGCTCCATCCATCTTTGCCCCTTTGTTCTCTCTGGCATTCCAGATTCGATAGTAAACGAGGTCGGTGATTGAATCAGTTATACTTTCCGTTTATAAATGTAAAAGGCGACTTTTATCTCAATATGGCGTTTTATTGATTTTTGTATGCAGACAATAGATTCAACAAAGACGAACGAGATGGTCGATCAGGCGAAGCAGGAGCCAAAAACGATGGTGTGGTGGGACATCAACAGCTGTCCGGTTCCCGATGGTTATGATGCTTCTATGGTCGCTCAATCGATAGAATTAGCCTTGAAAAAGGCAGGCCATACTGGTCCTCTCACCATCACTGCCATTGGTTACCTTAACTACACCTTAAAACAAATGCCAGGTGTTCTTCACGCGATTTCTTCCTCTGGAATCCTTCTGAAAAACGTTATTAATGGTCATATTTTAATCAGTTTCTATATTTTGTTAAAATATAACTTGGGTTTAGATTCAATTGGCTGTATTTTTGTTTGCTATTTAGTTGCTTTTCTTTACTGAAACAGATTTCAGATACATTTTAATGGATTTGTCATCATGGGCGTATGCCAATCCAACTCCCGCTACTTTGATGTTTATTTCCGGAGCTGTTTCACACACTGCCTCTATATGTTCTAAATTTTCCTTATTGCAACGTTTGGGGCATACCACTCTTCTGGCATGTCCTCAAGAAGTGTGCTTTGCTGTCCTTCCTAGAGATTTGCTCTGGGAAAGCTTACTGAAAGGTGTTTTTCCTCTCTGTCTCCTCCCCCTTTCTCTCTCTTTATGTTGGAACAACCAGCAAGACGTGTTGTTTCTGAAACTAATTTAGTTTTGTCCTCAGATGGTATGTCTTCAGGGGAGACAAGAAGACAGAAGCAGTGCTGTGAAACTGCTTGGCTTTGCTCAATGTGCAAAAACTCTTGCCCACTTACTGAAGGAGACGGGAGCTTCCAAGGCAAAAGCTTTGAAGATTTTACCTCACATCTCAAGAGTGAATATCACGCACTCTGTGTAAGAATCCCTCTGTTTATTATGTATTATGTTTTGCTTATAAGCACAATGATTAACTAATTTGTTTTCATTTGGTCTGTCAAACAGGAACTGAGCATGGTCTCTAGGCCTATAAGCAAGAAGTTGGCTAATCTTACAGAATGCTCTAATAAGAAATCAAGTGTAAGTTTCAACACTTGAAAGAATTTTTGGTGAAACTGGAACCAACTTTCTTAACGAATGTGTGAATATCAAATCTTGGGGAAAGAAAGAATCTGATTTCTCAGAAACAATAGGTAGTAATGTTGATTTTGGTTGATTCACTGACATTGATTGATGCTATATAACATTGAAGAAGAGGAGCATTGAAGAAGAAGAAGAAGAAGAAGAAGAAGACCAGTACTGGGAGGATGAGGAGTGGGAACGACTAACTGTCTAGAGGAGGTTGGGAAGACGAAGAAGATTGGCACCGGTACTAATTTGAATAAGAATACTACATATATGGATGGCACATGGCCTGTGTGAATCTTTTGTTTAAAGTCTCGTCTTTGAGGTTACATTTTATGAACACCTTCTTAAACGATACCAATCCTTTTATTCTAATAATATTGCCGGCTGATGCTTTTTTATTATAATTAACTAGATTTGGACTCGCACGTACGTGCGGGGTTATATTTGTAAGAAGTTTAAAATAATTTGTATAAAAATGATAAGTGATAGTTACATGTATATTTTATAAGCTAATCAAAACATTTATCACAGTTTGATTAGGGGTGTTACAATCGTATTTGGATTCGGTTTTAGTTTGAGTTATTTTACTTATATGCTGGAACGGGTATATATGTCCCGTCTCTTCCCGTCTTGTTCTGTCCCATCTATTGACATAATTTTTTGGTCCCACAACCGTTTCCATTTAAATAATCGTTTGCCATTATTTGTTATAAGAGACTTGGTAAGAGGTTTAGACAGAAATCCATCTTCTTCGTTTAAATGTTTATTTTATTAAATTAATACATATTATATATGCAAAACATCTAATTCCCAAAAAAATCTTGAAGTATATTTTAAAATATCCAAAAAAAATTAAAATACACGTTCTAAACCCATATTCAAATAGGATTTTCGGATATATATGTTATGCCAAGGCCTCCTAATAATCACACACCTTAACCCGATTATTAACGGGTTTGAAGTTTGAACAATAACGTGTACCCTGACTTTTTTTTTTTTCCGAAGTCTCTAAAATGAAAAGATGATGTTTATGTTGTGTCGGTAACGAAAAAATATATGACAATAAGGTTTTTTTTTCTAGATTTTAACACGTGGTGTACCGCGAGATTATTATTTTTTTTTAAAAAAAAAATTATTCATGTAATTTATTTGTTGTTTTATGTTTAGTTTCTTATCGTTTTCTAAGTAGATGTCGAATGTAGTTTTCCGGGCGCATTTCCCGTTAATTGAAAAGTTTGTTAATTTTACTTGATAAATATGAAATTTTGTTTTAGACAGGTATAGGAAAAATAGAGTAATTTTACATCGTCGAATATGTCAAAAGTTCTTTATGTAAGTATATATAAAATTTGAAACTAAGTTATACAAGACTACTGAGAAATTAGTTTTTAATATTCAGTTATAAATTTGTTATTAAAAGTACATAAAAGTTGATGATGCTACATTTTATTTCCTGATATTTGCAGTCACTTTGTTTTTCATTTGTTGGATCTTAGAATTACCTGTAAACCTACAATGTATTGGGTTTTTTTTCTTCTAATTTCTAAAACTCATTAAGAAGCATATAGGGCCAATAACGTGTAGTCGTGTATACTAAACTTAGTTTTTCGTTTTTCTTCCCCCCAAGGTCACCGTCTCTATCTCTCCCCCATTTTTTTTTTGACAGCAGTCTCTATTCCTCCCTTGTCAGATCAATTTCATATGGAGAAAAAAATAAAAACCTATAAATTTGAAATTCAGGCGAGTAACCTATTTAAAAAAATGGTCATTCAGACTACTTGTGGATCTTTGCAATTAGTAAGCTTATTCTTTTTCGTAATCATTTGATTCTATAATGACAAAAAAAAAAATCATTTGATTCTATTAGTTTGTTTTGAGCTATGGGTATTTTGAAGTTCATGGCATATTGGATTACTATTCTATACAACATGCACATAATACAATCCCGCACGTACGCTTTTTTTTGTGTAGTTTTGATAATTTCAGTTAAGCTTCCAAATGATATAACTTGAAAAGCGTCTGAATATGTATATTGATCAACTACAACGATTCTGTTGACCTGTATCAGATTTAAAGTAACCCTTTCTCATAATTCAGCCTGTTTGAATCTGAGCATAATTAGAAGCTTGTTATCAAGCTTTAAGATAGAAAATAAGATTCAACCACCAAATATATTTTTAACCTTATAATTTGCAATTTAAAGATTTTGCTATAGCCAATGTTTTTAAACCCGACCCGGGATGGTGAACCGGACTAGCTTCCGGGTCACCGGGTCATCGGGTTGACCGGGTTCGACCACGGGTTAATTAATTAAAATTTATTTATATATTTATACTTTTATGAATATAAAAGTATAAAAGATCATAACATATTTAACAAAATATAAAGTCTAATAACAATAATAATAAAGAGACTAAAATTTTAAATCTAGAAAAAGTATAAAAAACAAAACACACTAATAAAACATCACAAATCAAAACATGAACAACTAGCAATATATATTTAACATCAGATAACCATGAATTCTCAAAAAAAAAAAAAAAGAGAAAAAAAAAAGTTATGATCAACTACGAAAATAATGTATTGTGTGTTGATTGAGAAGGTTAAAAAGAGTTTTAAAATAATTAAAATCTTAGATTTTACTTATAATTATTTTCAAAATCATAATTTAATTTTTTGACCCGAGATCCGGTGAACTGGTTGAACCAACCGGGTCGCGGGTTAATAGCGGGTTTTCTTGGGTTTTTGCGGTTTTGAGATTGCTGGATTTTAGCAATAAACCCAAACCGGAGAAATGTCCGGGTCGCGGGTTAACCGGTCGGACCGGTGGGTCCGGTCCGGGCGTGGAAACACTGGTTATAGCAGATTTAACAATGACTCTAATTACTGATTTATGTTGTACTTCTTCCGCATAACAAAAATGAATTTGGAGATTCACAACAAATTATTTGCAACACATCTTCTCGACGTATGGACAAATCATATTTTTTTTAAGTTTTTTAACATTTCTAATCGACATATTTACATTTTATTTTTTGTTACTATGAATCTATAAGTAGATTTTCATTATTCATAAGGTTTAAGCATAGATTAATACGTTGCAAATTTAAAGCAATATAAAAATATATTGAGGTTTTTCTTAGAAAACAAATATTTTGATAGTTTTAAAAACCTTTGAAACCAATGAGTTAGAAACCAAATGACATGTGGCTTAGAAGTGTTGTCCAATGGCTTCTTCTTGATTGCTTTCTTAGTCAATAGAATTTTTTGGAGAGAGAATACATATGCAAGTTAACAACAGAATTGATATCAATTCAAATTAAAGCAAATGTTTAATTTTATAACCATCTATTTGGGCAATCTGTGAAAGAAAATAAATTATATATGCTTTGTACTATGTTAGTCGATTTCTTTGATTGGAGCGGTGAGTTTCTTGTTGAGTTTAGTTGGTATTTATAGTAGTTGTTAGGATATAATATGTTGGTGAGCAAGTTGATACAAAATCAGAATATTCTCAAATTTAATGGGATATTTTTTAGGACTTTTTCATTAAATAGAGATTGTAACGGGGTTGTTAAAATTGGTTCAAATTATGACTATGTTGTTAATTAATATATAATCTTTTTCCGAGATTTTGTAGAGTTAATTTCTTTTTTATAAATGTAAATATATATACTAATTATTTTAGTCTTTGTTTTCTATAAATGATAATTTTTTAATTAATATAATAGTAAGAATAGGTAGACTTTAGAAAGAGGAAACAAATATATACATATATATTCATTCAAAAAAAAATATATATAAAATTTATTAGAAATTAGTTATGGTGAGTAATATTGAATCGTTATTAATTAGGTGGAAATGAATGTATTCAATAATATTTAGAAATATAGGATCAAATGTAATTATTGTGATATTATTTAAGGTAGTTAGCAAAATAAGGTAGTTAGCAAAAATAATTCGTTTTATATTTTAAAAATGGGACATTAAAGTTTATAGGTGTGTTTGGCTATAGATTTGACATTGCATAAAAATGATATATATTTTTTTAATTGTGTTTGGCTACACTCACAAAAAATCTCCCCTTTTAATATAGTAATAGGGATGGACCCGCACGTACGTGCGGGGTTGGTTGCAAAAATTAAGTTTATCATAAAGTTTTAAAATATTTGGATCGACATGATAAGAGACCTGGATCAAGTGTAAACCGAATGAGTGATAAGTTAGAAATTAATTAAAGTTATGAACTATCACATCACATAAACCAATGGAAAACATTAAAACTTTTAAAACATTAAAAATTAGGAGAGTCAAACGCGTTCACTATGCATGCCCTACAACAAATTGAAATATTTTGGTCCACCCACATGAATAAATATTATGTCTTCAGCTTGCCGTTACCCATAATTCCCTTTTGTATATTATTAGAATTAGTTAAGATAATAATTTTTATTTTCTAAATTACCCGTTCTCTTTTTGTATCCGTTATTTTTTGTCCCGATATTTGAAATTATTAAGTAATTTGAAACTTACTTTTGCTATTAAAAAATTTCATATTTCTGTATCATACCCGTCATTTGATATTTGAAAGTTAAAATTTAATTTAACTAATACAAATTTTTATATCGGCTTGTTTTTGATGAGAAATAGTTTAGATAATTTTTTTTTTAATTACCTATTCCCTTTTTGTTCCCGTTCTTTCTCTCTAAGATAAGATCATACATTTTTTTTATAAATGACATCATTTACATATGTTTAGAAAACATTATATAGCCCATAGTTAACTAATTAAATTACTCGTTCTCTTTTCGTATCCGTTAATTCTTGTCCCGATATTTTAAATATTTAAGTAATTTAAAACTTAATTTTTGCTATTTAAATTTCATATTTTTGTATCATACCCGTCACTTGATATTTGAAATTTGAATTTGAATTTAAGTTTCCAAATTTTTTATATCGTCCTTTTTTTATAAGAAATAGTTTAGATAATTTATTTTTAGAATTACCCGTTCCCTTTTTGTATCCGTATTTTATCTCTAAGATATGATTGTATATTTTTAATATAAATGAAATCATTTACATTTCTTTTTTAAAACAATATTATATAGCTTGTTATTAACTAATTAAATTACCCGTTCTCTTTCTGTATACATTATTTCTTGTCATGATATTTGAAATTATTAAGTAATTTGAAACTTACTTTTGCTATTTAATTTCATACTCATGTATCATACCCGTCATCTGATATTTGAAAGTTGAAATTGAATTTAAGTTTCCATATTTTTTATATCGTCTTGTTTTTGATGAGAAATAGTTATATAATTTTTTTTTGTATTACCCATTTCTTTTTTTGGAAATTGAAATAACTATTTTATTCCATTTTAATCATAATTATTTGATTTTA